TCTGTCTTCGCAGCTGTAGGTGATGCCAACCATTTATTTTGCTCCTGAATATATTAATACCATTTGGGAAGGACTTGGAGAGGATGGACAGCTCATCCCTGCTCCACACCATATCAGCTGGAGGATGCATTTCAGGACAGCCCATGCTCATGCAGGTGAGCCGGTGCTGGCTGCTGGTCCGGCCACCGGGGCTACCACAGGTGGCTTGGGCTTCCTCACAGCATGGCAGCTGGGCTCCAAGAGGGGCGCGTCAAGAGAAGTGGGTAGAGGTGTCATCCCCTTCTCTGGCCCGGCCCCTGGCGTCCTCTGTTGTTAGCAGTCTACCCAGGTTCAAAGACGGGGATTGCAAGCCCACCCACTGTTGGGAGGAGCCTCAAATCCACCTGCAAGAATAGCCTGTGAAGAAATCATTGCAGACATTTCTGGAAAGTGCCATCTGCCAACACCTCCAGGAAGCCTCACCCACCCCCACAACCTTGTGACGGCACCCCTCTATGCTCCTGGGAGGCCCAGGGCACATCTTTGTGTGACATCCACCAAATCGGCTCTGCAGGTCACTTCCTCGCTCCTGTCCAACTCAATCCACCCCAGGACTAAGCCAGTTTATTTTAGGATTTACAAATAATCAACTCATCTTCAAGTCTCCACTTACCAGCACAGCAACTGGCAGAGCAGGTAAACGAGACATTTTTGATGAGCGAGTAAATACTTGAATAAATGAGTGAAGAACACCTTCCTTTTTCTTTTTAATTGTTTGACTTCAAGCAGGTTGCTCAAAGTCGATGGGCAGTTTCATCATCTGTAGAACAGAGAAAATAAGCCTAAATCCCAAGTGTGGCAAAGAATCAATGTCACAACCTATGAAAAAGGACATAGAACACAGAAGGCGCTCACTGAGTGTGACCCCAACTTGAGAAGGCAGTGATGGGAGGAGGTTTGATGAACACAAAAGGACTCTATGGGCTTCCTGGAGTGGGGAGACCAGGAATTGCACCTTAAATAAATAACAGAAGCTCTTCAAACAATAACCACCAAGATAGAGCAGAAACTACTTCATTTAAGATCTGAACAGGCTTTCCATAATTAGTTCACCACTTAGCTCCGTATTCCCATGTAGGCACGTAACTCATTATAAATAAATATTACCATGGAGATGCAATGATGATAATAATTTTAGAGTGTTTATTCTATCTGAATGCTTATTAGCTGTATGCATTTTGCCATTGTGTAGTGAAGCCCTAAGCCTTCTAATGAGCGAGCCGTCCAGTGTTTATATTCTGATTGCTATTGTTGTAGGCAGGATCTTGCAGACAGAGCTGGGCAACAGCGTGCAAGCTTGGGAATAGCTGCGGCCACGGTCCAGCTGACCCTTTTGTTTCAGTCTAAGAGTCAGAGGTTCTCAGGGGTACGCAAGGGCTAAATTATTTTCATAATAACAAGGGTTAGCGTAAGGGCTAGATGCATTTCTTACTCTCGATTTTAATGAGCACGGTGGAGTGTCCCAGTGGCCAGGTGAACTGGGATGACGCCATTGCTCTCATGGTTAAAGGCATGTGTACTTGCATGTTCTTGGGTTTTAAAACGTTCTCACCCACACAAGCAGAAACTCTTTGGGGTTCTTACTAATGTTAAGGGTGAAAAGGTTCTGAGACCAGGTGGCTTGGGCAGCGTGATCTGAGTCGTGTCCCCTACGTTCATGCCCAGAGAACGACCCCTCTCTCTCCCTGAAAGTGCTGCCGCAGACCAGGGTCTCTTTGGCTGGATTTATGAGACTGTGGGGAGAGAGATGGAGACAGGGAGAGAGATGGAGAAACAGAGATGAGAGATAGTGAGACGTGAGAAAGAAAGAGATGCCACCATGGGGTCTGAACCAGGTAGACCCCTTGACAAACCACTCTAAAGCTTCGTGGCTTAAAACAATTGTCTCAGAGGCCTAAAACTTTAATTCCTGATTCTGAGATGTGGCAGTTTGCTGGGCTCAGTCGAATGGCTCATGTGGTCTCTCCTGGGCCCTTTCTCCTGTGGTGCACTGTGTGGTCGCTTAAGCAACTCTGCTTCTAGGGTTTGCTGGTGTCTTAGTCTGCCGGTGTTGCTAGGAAGGAACACCTGAGGCTGGGTTATTGATGCAGAAAAGAGGTTTATTTGGTGCACGGTTCTGCAGGCTGTACAAGGAGCGTGGTCCAGCACTTCCTCCGAGGAGGCCACTTCTGGCTGTTTGCACTCCTGGTGGAAGGCGAATGGGGAGAGGTGCCAGGCTCTTTTCACTAACCAGCTCTGGCAGGAACTAGTGGGGTGAGAACTCACTCACTACCAGGAGGAGGCACTGAGCCATGCATGAGGGACCCCCTATGACCCAGACCCCAGACACCTCCCAGTTAGGCCCCACCTCCAACACTGGGGATCACATTTCAAGGTGAGATGTGTAGAGTCAAATATCCAAGCTGTAGCAGCAGGCGTTGGCCAGGATACCTCAGTTCTCCTCCACAGGGTCCCTCCTTCTGCGGGCCAGGCGCTGGCTCTTGTGGCTTGGAGTGTCTCAAGGCTTCCTGAGGCTCCTGAAGACCTGAGCGTGAAGCTGCTGCTGGTGCCAGCCAGGTGCAAGCCCGGTGTGTGCCCAAGGGCTGAGGACTCAGATTCTGCCTCTGTGACCGGCTCTGTGAACAAATTTTGACGACCTCTATATGCTTTTTTCACTAGTTCTCAAGTACTGAGCTAAGTACTTGACCTTTTGCATTGTTTCCCAGAAACGGTGGATTTTCTGCAAGACAAAGCAGTTGAGATTCCAGAGTCCCCTGGACTGAATTCCTGGGGCCACGACTCACCATGCCTTAGTAACTGTGCCCGTCGACCCTTGTTAATTTCCCTTATTAATGTCAACAAAACCTGCCAAAATGCACAGTAGCCCCTTGTTAATTTCCCATCTGTAAAAAAACCCAGACTCTCCTTCAGTCCAGAGATGGATTTGAGACTGCTTCTCCCGTTTGTTCTCCTGACAAGATGTCTTCTGTATTAAAATTTCCTTGCTTCCTTGGCAATCCTCATCGTCCCAATGATTGGCTGTCTGTGTGGTGAGTAACGGGACCTGGGCCAAAGTCCCCTTGCAGTTTTGATACCACTTCTCCATGGGAAGAAGTGCAAAGTCACGTTGCAAAGGATGTTGCCGACAGTGGAGCCATTTGTGCAAACGTCTCCCCCTGGACGTCTCTCTGCCGCGGGCACTCCGGCCCCTCCATTGTTCACCCAGGGCCCCAGCCTGTTCCACTCCCAAGGGTGCAAACCGATGGTCATACCCACTGATGACTGTCTTCCCTGTAGAGCAATTATTGGCAAAAACATCAGACTGCATCTTCAGAACATGAACTCTGTGCTTCTCATTTAAGTGGCGTTATTTGTAAGAAGCAGATGTTTCGAATTAGAAGCTATTTTTCTCTGAATCAGGGACAATTCAGGTTCCTTAGATTGCTCTCTGACACGTGCATTGTGATGACAGAATTTGGACATTCACCAGAAACGTGCACTTGTATGTTCTGATTTACGCCATCCGACAGGATGGTCCACAGAGTTGCGTGAGCGTTAAGTTCGACTCCCACCAGTCATTTTCAATTTATTTTTTTATAAATAAATGCAGCTGTAGAAGTCGTTAGGGAGATGGGAAACCTCCGAGCAGCAAGATAGTTCTTTTCTCAGCGACCAGTGGGGATTTAAAGGGAGTGTCCCTGTACCGGGTGACATTTCTTCTAAACCAGATGATAAAACTCCAAGTGCCACTGTGACATTGCCGGCCAGAGAACACAGACTCTTAGAGAAAAGAAAGAAAATTATTGAATTGTCTTTATTTTCACGCTTTAAAAAAAAAAAACCACCAGGCTTTGGGTTTTAAAATCAGTGTTAGCATTTTTAAAGGTATCACATGGTCAGCTCACATCAAGCCTGTTTTCCAGTTTCAGAGTTATCGCGTGTCTAAACCCCAGCCCCAGTCATTCAGCTCCACTGAGCACCCGGAGCTTCAGTGAGAGCAGCCTGCATGTCGATTGCTGGATATCATTAGGAGATCCCATAAAACTGTCCTGGAAACAAACCGCTCCTCAGATCTATAACTCAAAGGAAATTCCCCAAAGGATTTTAGCAGAAATTATGAGCCTGTTCAAAACCAGCATCATACCTGCACCTTCCAGAGGACTCTCCTGGCCTCACAAGTTGTGCTGAGATTAAGACTGATTAGCTGCATCAAGCTGTAAGTGGAATGAAGTATGCGTTTGCATTTTGAGGGAGCATCCGTTTGTGTTGCCACGTGTCTGGTCCGTGGCTGCCGCTGAGTTTATCACATCAGCATGGAATCCAGCAAGAGCTTGTTTCCGGCCGCCAGACTCATCATCGGCCACCCACTCGTGGAGATTTGGGACTGCCTCCTCTGGTTATGCCAATAAATCTGGGTGAATAGCTGCCTGATGTGTGATTGATTTCCCTACAGATGGATCCGAGCTGAGTTTTCAGTGGTGGGTCTTAAGGGTGGGAACTCGGGGCAGAGTGTCACTGACACTGGGAGACTTGAGGGGTCGCTCCCTGTTTGTGCTGGAAACCCCACTGTCGGTGCTGAGTTCTGTTGGTGTGATATTCTAGTGCGAAGGAGGAGGAAAAGGAGTTTGTGAGGGGCTAGAGAAGTCTGGTCCTATCCAAGAGCAAGACCCTGCGGTGATGTGTCATCCATGACTTTAGGAGTCTGGACACCAAAGAAAGACAGCACCCATTCACTCACAATTATTATTCATTTTGCGTAAACTTACTCCATTGCAAACCAATGTCCCTTCAGTGAAAAATTCTAACATAGAAGCATTCTGTACCTCGTAGACTGGGTGTTGGTAAAAAACTGGAATAGCCCCAGGAAACAAAAGGGTTGATCTAGCTTCTGCAGGATTCTGGCCTTGAAAAATATCTTAGTTGGAAATCTTAGACTCTTTTCTGAGGATATTAATCTTTGCATTCTCTTTGGAAATGTGTAGAATTGGAGGAGAATGAAAGAGACCTGCCAACTACAACAGAGGCTCAGGAAGTTGAAACTGTGTCTCATCGTAGGACTTGCAGAGGCACCACTAGACCATCATCAGTCAAAAGGAGTCTCCCATCTTAGGAAAAAACCAGCCTGGCGATCCTAGCCTGCTGCGCTCACCAAACCCTCACGCTCACAACCCTTCTTGCCTATCCGACTTGCATTGTCTTCCAATTTTTTTTTTCTCTGTCTCGCACATTTTTATTAAACAGATTTTCATGCTATTTTCTGGTTTTACACATAAAAGAAAACCTTGTTCACTGGAAGAATTTTGAAAATTTGAACTCAGGACTGAAGAATTTTTAAAAAAATATGTTCTGAGCAGGGATTTTTGGAATTTCATCCTGGTTCTCAGCGTGTGACCCCACATTTATGGAGTCCACGTTGTGTGCACGGAGCCCACAGCAGCCTCCACCCCCCCCCCCCCCCCCGTCCCCCAGCCCCCGCTGGCGGGCACATCCTGTCCTCTGGCGGCTTCTCCGGCAGGTAGATCTGCACAGCTCTTCATGGGGGAGCCCACTGAGCTCATCACAAGAGGCTGCCAGATCTAAAACAAAAAGTTCGGATAGTTGGAATTTTTCATATCTGCTATTAAATACCCACAGGATATTCTGGGGACATAAATTTTAAAAACTCATTCATCAGGCATCAGGGTTTCCAAAGTGAATTCCTGAGTTGCAGCAATACGGAAGAAATGGGATTTTGAAACTCAATCGCACTCCTGGCGCGCGCAGGCGAGAAGAGCCTGTAACCCAATTCTCAGAGCTGTTGAGCTTTTATCAGCCAGCGCTTGCTTTAGAGGAACTGCTCTACAAATCTCTCTCTGCAAAGCAGCCTTGCTTAAAAGAACTTGAAGGGAGAAGAGCCCTTGTAAACCTTAATTCACCTGGTGGAGATTTCCGTGATATTTTTTTCCCCAGTTTTATTAAGGAGTTTTCCATCTCACGGCCCTTGGAAGGAGCGGGCCCGGGGAGAGCAGAAATCCACATTTTCATATCTCGGGGCTGGTCCCTAGGGAGCTGCTTCATCTTTGCAGATCCCTTATTAGATGGTCGGTTTGCAAATAGTGCTGACAATCCGATCTTTGGTTTTGGCTGTTTGTGCAGTCTGAGAACCCTTGCACTTTTAAGACAAAAGCCTCAGTGTTACGTACATATTTGCTAAGATTTTCTGCCCAGCATGCAATGGGGGTGGGGGTGTGTGACCCTTCCCTCAGGGCAGAGTTGCCACCCTCCTCACCAGTCCCCTTTCTGTCTCAGAGACAGCCCAGCTCTGTCAACATGCGCCCTGTGCTGGAAACCAGGGATAAAGGTGAGTGTTGCTTTTTAAAATTTAAAGTAAAAGCGTTGCTATCTTTAGTCCTCTCTTGGCATGGAGGTGGAATGGTAGGAAGAGTGTGGTTTTTGGGTTGAGACAAATCTCGGTTTCAATGCTAGTGATTCTGTGATTACAGGCAGCCACTTGGGGCTCTGGCAGGTCTTCAAGTGTCAGTTTTCTCCTTGGAAAATGGGGATAGTGACATTGCAAGGTCATTGTGCAGATTAAAGAGATATAGCCCCCCAATAAATCAATGGCATAAACTCAAGGCATGGGCTTTTCTTCACTAACAGATAATTCAGTGACGTAACGACCTAATGTGATGTGTGCCTATCTTCTGGATTTGGTTTAAACAAAGCAATTTTCAAAAGACATTTTGAGAGCAGTTGGGGAAATTTGAATAGGGACGTGCTATTAGATGATGGTGAAGGAGAACATTAATTTTGTTAAGTCTAATAATGGTATTGTGGTTTATAAGTAAACATCTTTTTCTTTAAGAGATACATACTGAATTATTAAACTAGAAATTAAATGACATATTGTCAGTTATTTATTTTGAAAATGCTTAAGCAAAAAACATTTGAAGTGAACATGGCTAAATATTAATAATCCTTAAGCCAAGGCAGTCTGTTGGGGTTTATGCTGGTCTCTCTTCATTAGTGTTTGTTAGCACTTTCACAGTGAAACGTCAGGGAATGATGTTTATCCTGCAGGAGGTTCTTAGCATAGGGCCTCGAGCTGCAGGTGAGGCAGAGAAAGAGACGGTGGTGTCCGGTCGTCCTTTGGTCTGTCGACAGGTATTTATTGGTCTCTGTTCTCCTTACATAGCAAAAGAAGATGAGCAAGATGTGTGTGTGCCACACCCTCTGGGATTTACCTCTCGGGAGGAAGGTGAACATTTAGGTCGCCATTAAGATGGGAATGATAGGTGCCTTCCAGTGGCTAAATTCTCTATCGTTTTCCAAACACAGAGTGTTGCCCATGAGAGATTCAGATCCTAAGTCAACACAGTTTTTATCCGGACCCCACGTGTGTCACAGTGGTGAGTCCTGAACCCCACTTTGGACAGGTAACTTGGTAGCATCCAAAAGCAATTGTGTGCCTTGCATGGACCAGTGGGGTGTGAGCACAGGTGGCACAGTGGAAGCTGGGAAGGTGCACCTGGGATGGGGCTTGCTTCCGGTGGCTTCCTGTGCCTGCTGGAGAGCCTGCCTGCTCCGGAAGGCCCCGTCGCGTTCTGGCTGGAGCAGCCTCTGTCAGCTGACACACAGTACTGATGCGCCTACCGGTTCCCGCACGTGCTTCTCTCCTTCCAAGTCTCCCCTTGTTGTGAATAACAACTATTTTCACAACAGACGTGTCCGTTAGGGTTCTAAGGGTAAAGAAACTGACAATCAAACAGGGAGGGGAGGGCTCCGCAGGCAGCTTGGGCCATTCTGCGCTCTCCGTGCGGGCGCTGGAACTGGCTCTGGGCCAGGGCTTTGGGCGCCTCTGCTGATGCTGGCAGGCGGTTCTGGTTTCCCTTCTCCAGCCTGGCCGAGTGGTTCTCACAGCCTCACCAGCGTGAGAATCTCTGCCCGGGCCTGTACTCCGGCTGTGTGTTGTGAACTGTTGAGTGGCCGTCCAGGGTGGTTTTGCCTAGCAGGTGTTTGCACGCGACTTGCAGCCACACTGGTGACACGGGCGGGCGGGGAGGGCGGTTGCAGGGAAGGCTGAGAACATGGGTTGCTCACCTGCACTCTGCCCGGCCGTAGAGTTGGACTCCAGGGGGTGCCTGCACCCTGACGTAGCTCCTTCCTCTGGGAGAGATTACTGCCGCCCACAGGAGAAACGCCCCCCAGGTCTGTGAATACACAAAGCCCTGGAGACACAAATCGTCTCGCAAGTCTCTTGGAAGCCCCTCTCTGTGGTGGAAGTCTGTGGTTGGGCCGTGCCGGCAGCGTCCTCCCGTCCTCCTGGAGAGCACCCAGCCGTCTCAGGGGAGCACTCTAGCCCCGCTCGTCATGGAGGTTGCACTGGGGTGGTGGATCTGAGCTGATCCTGGGGAGGTCACACCACCTGGCCCTGGCCAGGGAGAGCACCTAGCTATGGGTTTGGGCTGAAGATAGGACCCTGATTAACCACCCACCGGGTACTTTCACCAGTCTCCTGGAGGGACAGGCCTGCTGCAGCTGTCTTGCCGAAGCCACGTACTCAGGAGCCTGAGAAGGAGACGGAGACAGACAGGCGGTGTGGCAGACAGGGCTGGAGGATGGCAGGGCACACGCCCCTCCACTCTCTGAGGCTCTGAGCAGCTATTCCCCTTTGTCTCATGGCTCGAGTGTGGTCTCTGTCACTGCCACGGAGAGTGTCCGGACTCCTGTAGAGGTTTTGCTCCTCAGAGATGCACATCCAATGGCAGAATCCGAGGTCAGGACAGGCCAGCAGGGGGATGTCTTAGGCCAGGACCATGTCCTCCACCCTCTGCTAAAGTGACACAGCAAGTGGCCAGCTTTGCTTGCATGGTGATGCTAGAAGTCTCCCAGGCTGGAGGAGGTCTCGCTGGCCTCATTCCTGCAGACTGGCAGGGCCAGAGGAGCACTGGGCAGAGTCAGGCGGCTGAGCCTCCCCACGACTGCCTACCTCTGGGAGCTCTGGGCACAGGTCCTCTCTGTCGGGCTGGCCTCCTCGGCCTCAGGTCAACCTGAGCGAAGTTGTCACTGAACCCTCGCCCCCTCCACAGGTGTGGGAGATGACCGTGCACTGGGGAGGTGATGAGCAAAGTGAACCCTCTCTCGGATCTGGGAGCTCGAGGGCTGGTGGCATCTCTAACAAGACGTCTAGCAGGCAGACAAATGATGTGTGAGCACAGGTGTGGAAGGTACAAAGGATGGTGTGATTATCTCATCTCCATGGGTTACTTCCAGAGGGGTGGTCAGGGAAGAGCTTGCAGAGGAGGTGCCCTGTGGGCAGGGAGGGAGCCTTGTCTCGGGGGGTTCCAGGCAGGGGGGTGGAGGAGGCAGGCAGCCCTCCCCACAGGGGCCGGTAGCACAGAGCCTGACCTCCCAGGCCTGCTGGAGAAATAGGAGACCAGTGTGGCTGGACACAGTGAAGGGGTGGATTGAGGTTCACCTGGGGGCCAGGAGGTGGGCAGGGCCAGATTCCACAGGGCCTTGCAGGTGAGAGCTGGGTTTATGCTAAGGGCAGGGGAAGCTGAAGAAGCTTATAAGACATGGAGTGTGGGGTGGGGGGAGGATGGGGATGGCATCTTGTGTTTGGAAGGTCCCTCTCAGCGCTGAGATCCCAGCTCTCGGTCTCCGTGGACATGTTCTTCATTTCATTTGGTGCTGAGTGGCTCAAGTGGTTCTCTGGATTTGTGCAGAGGGGATTGCATTACCCGAAGCCGTGTACGGTGGAGAGGGAGGTCTGAAGGTGCTTCAGCACGTGTGATTCTGTGTGTGCGTGTGCATGAATATACAACAGTAATTAATGTGTTTATCACACGCTAATTATACACCAAGCTAATGCTTTATGTGAATTTTCTCATTCAGTCTTCCCCAAAGTGGCCCTAAAATTATCATTCCCCCATTTCACACATGAAGGAACTGAGGTTTAATGATATAAAAGAAGTTATTCAAAGTCATGTGGGTTTGGGTCTCAGCTGCCTGGAGCCCGCCCATCTCATTCCTGGGCCTCCCCACATATGACTTAAATCTTTCTAAGTCATAAGACATTTAAATTAATTGGACTCGCACTTCATTTTGCATCTTTTCATTTGTGGAGAATTTTACAAAGAGGCTGAAGCACTCTGTGTGTGGTCAGTGGAGGAGGTGCAGGACACTCTGGGAGATCGGCCATCTGTGCCTCCCTCTGCCGCCCTGGACCCTGTGCTCACGAGCGTTCTGTGCTCCAAACCTACGCCAACAGCAGTCACCTGCAGCGTGTGCGGTGTGGGGGAGGGGGAGAAGCCACTGCATGGATTTTGCATCTTTCATGCTAGTAGGGAAAGCTGTTTTCCTCCCTTCAAATTCTCCCCGAGGTGATGGAAACCACAGCGCATAGCATGGGAAGGAAGAAAAAACCCTCAGTGTTTGCCGCAGAACCACACCGGGGCGTGTGATGTCAGCCGCATCAGTCATGTCTCGTTACGAGGCTCAGTCCCCCAGCGATGACACGACCCACTGTGTCAGCCAGAAAAAAAGAGAGAAAAGGAAGGAAAAGCAAATCGTTCTGCAGCTGCTCAAGTTTAGAAAAAGGAAGACTTTGGAAACTGAATTTTCTTCATATATAAAACAAGGTGAACACCAATATTTAAATCCCCCAGATTTTCTGGCTGGAGTTGAAGGCCGGGAAGAAGTAGAGGAATTTCAGTTTCTTAGATTATTAATCCCTCTTTATCATGAAAAATGTCAAACATACAGAAAGTAGACAGGATAGGCTTGTGAACTGCCACATGCAACCTCCAAATGATTATTAACAGGTTCCTATATTTACTTTGCTTTTTTTTTTTTTTTTGCCTTCTCACTTACATTGAGGTGCATTACAGACACATGACATTTTGCCTCTAAATGCTTCAAAAATAAAGGACACTTTCTAAAATAGGTGTAATAGCATCTTGTCTCTACAGATGTTGCTATGGTCTGAATGTCTGAGTGCCTCCAAAGTCATATGCTGAAACCTAACTACCAAGGTGATAATGATATTAGTAGAAGGTGAGGCCTCTGGGAGGTGATGAGGAATGAGGTTGGTGCCCGCATGAACGAGGCCCCAGAGGGCTCTGCCTCTTTTTTCATGCTGGGAGGACATGGTAGCAACGTGGAGGCAGAAACAAGCCCTTGCCAGACACCCACCCTACCGGAGCCTTGATCCAGGACCTTCCCAGCCTCCACAGCTGTGAGCAACACAATTATGCTGTTGGTAAATTACCCAGTCTCGGGTGTCTTGTTCGAGCAGCAGGAACAGACTGACAGCTAGAAGTGGGGTGTTGCTGCAACAAATGCCTGAAAATGTGGAAACAGCTTTGGAACTGAGAAACAAGTAGAGGCTGGAGCAGCCTTGAAGCAATGCTATAAAAAGCCTGTGTTGCCACAAACAGAGGGTTACGGGTGACTAGGGTGAGCTGTAGAAGAAGAGAGCTGTAGGGAGAGACTTTATCTTCTTGGGGGTGACCTAAGTAGTCATGATCAGAGTGTTGGTAGAAATGTGGACAGTAAAAGCCATTGTGACGAGGTCTCAGAGACCAAGACAAGGCATTGGAAACTGGAGAAGTGGCCGTCCCCGTCATAAGGTAGCAGAGAACTTGCCTGAATTGTGTCCAAGTCCTGGGCCCCACGGAAGGCGGCCGCTAAGAATGACTAGCAAGGATAAGTGGCAAAGGAAATCACTAAGCAAAGTGTTGAGGGCACAGCACGGCTTCCCTTGATTGCTCATAGGAAATGTGAGAACTGAAGATGGAATTTATAATTAAAAGGGGAGCAGAACTTAAAGGTTTGGAAAATTCTCAGCCTAGCTATGTGAAGAATGAAAAAGTGTGTTTGGGAGAGAAAACCAAACGGTGCATAGCTGAGCACCACCCTGGATACCAGCCTCCTTATTAAGGAGATTAGCATGGCGAGAAGGAAGACAGATGCTATTCATCAAAGACAATGTGAAATGACTTTGAAGGCATTTTGGGGCTCTCTGGGGCTGTTGCCCCCATCACCAGCCCAGAGGGCCAGGCCCTTGAGGGAAGATGTTTCAAGGGTGGGGCCCAAGGCACCCGTGGTGCTTTGGGGCTTGATGCCCAGAGCCGCCCCAAGTTTCTACTTGTACATCCTGGGGTGCAGCCCCCCAGCGGTGGCTCAAGCAGGCCCACGTGTGGCTGAGGCCTCAGCTGCAGACGTGACTAGTGGTAAACCTTGGTGGCATCCATGTGGCGCCAGCTCTGCAGGTGCACTGTGCCAACCGACTAGGATAGGGGTCTGGTGTGCTCATCCAGACATCTGCATGAGAATCACGGGCTGAGGACCCAAACGCTGACTCCAGGGCTCTGTGCGGAACCTATCGAATTTGTGATTCTAGCGTGATACCGGGGATACTCGTTTTACTATGCCCCACCGTGAATCAGTTTACAAACCCTGCATGTGTGGATGCAAGAATCCCTCCCTCTCTGCCCTCGTGTGTGGACTCCCCATCCCAGCACTGGGATGGAGTCCAGCCCCGTGTGGCTGTGTGGCCCTAAGGTGCTTGTCCTTTTTGAGTCTAAGGGCCTGGCTCTCAGCTGGCAGATGGGGCCCGGGTGCCTGCCACCTCCCCCATCCTTCCAGGCATGATGCTGCATGTTGCTCACGTGTTGCCATGCCCGAGGCTGGGCTGCAGCTCCCTGGGAATGCAGACTGCAGTGAGCACCTCCCGGAGCCTCAGCGCTGAGCACAGTGTTGTTGAAAGGAAGCCAGACGCATCCATGGGTGGATTTTACTGTTTCCCGACACACGGAAACAGCGCAGCGTGATCAGGGAAGGCAGTCTTGCCTTTCATCCTTCCTCAGATAGCTGCTGAGATCCTCCTCGGAATGTTCCAGTGGAGAAGACAAGCGGGAAATGGAAAGTCACATTGTAGCAGCTACGGAGAGTAATAGATTTCAGATCCAGCCTGTAATGTCGCCAGAAGTCAATTATTACCACTATTAATAAAGGAGAGGGTTGTGTAAGACACAGGATCCTGAGTTACTGTTTACTTAGCACTTCATAAATGTCAGATGCAGAACTAAGCTCTCTGTGTGCTTTATGTCACTTAATCCTTTTAGCAGCCCTGCGAGGTGGGAATATTATAATCTCTGATTTCCAGATGAAGAAACTGAGGCTCAAAGGGGTTCAATACACTGATCAGAGCAGCCCGGCCAGGAGGTGGAGAAGAAGCTGGCACCACTGTCTGCAGCCCTTGGCACAGAGCAGCCACCGAGGGGTGGGGGTGGTGCTGGTGGTTTTTAGCCTAAGATATTTATTTTTTCCCTAAAAAAATGTCCGTCATGTGCATGGCACAGCCATTGACTTCAGAAAGTGTGGCATTAGCTTTTGCAGCACCAGGCAGAAAATTTAAATCAGATTAGGAAGCACGGTTGCTATGGTATCAGGAAAGTACACTTTCATGCAAAGCAATTTAATAGATGTGAAAATGTGTACCTTCGCACGGGAACACTATATTTTAGAGATAAAGCTCCTCTAGCAGCAGTGGGCTGACAGGCTGGCCCCTCATCAGGGGACTGTCCTTGCCTCTGTCTCTCCCTGCCCCCTGCCTGGGTGGGGAGTCCGGGTATCCGTGGGAACGTCCTCCTTGGGGCAGGTGTAGGCACTTCCCGTCGGGAAGGAAGAAGTAAACCCTGCCCAGCCTGTCTGTGCCATGTCCTTCCACTGAGTCTCAAGCAGCTGCCTGGGCCCCGGGGCTGATGTCCTGTGGCCCATCACACCCGGCGCTGCCTGCTCAGCTGCACTGGGAAGGACCTGGGAAGGACCATCTGGCCTCTGCTCCCTGCGGTCTCCTGGGTGCCCAGGGATGCAATCTGTAAGCTTTCAGAGCATCTACTGAGAGACTGTGTTCTGGGAAACCTTGGACAGTTCAGTTTTAACCCAAGTCTCGATTTCCTCAACTGTAAAATGGGTCCAGTAATTGCTCAACTTTTAAGATGATGTAGACACGGTCCCTGGTACACTTGAAGCACTCTCTAAGGGTCAGTGGGCAGCTTCCAGCATCTGACATGTTTGCTGAGCAAATATGGCTCCAGCTCCTACCTCCTCTCTGCTCCGCCTGCCCCCTCAGTGTGCCCCAGTCTCACCAGCTCCCGTCACTCCACAAACACACTAAGCATGAGCCCCCTTCGAGACCTTCCCCTGATGTCCACGTGCCCCCCTTCCTTTTTTGCCTTGGCTCAGCTGTTGTCTCCTAAAAGAGGCCGTGCCCACCCCTTAAAACATTTCTACCTGCTGCTCCCCACCCCCAACCAATCCACCACATTCGGTACTTCCTGCACCAACTTCCTGTCCTTGGAGTGTCCCAAGGGGCCACGTACCAGTTATCTGCCTGCTGCTCACTGTGGGGCTCTGCACCAGAAGGGGGCCTTGGCCACGGCGTCTTTGCTTTGTGCTCAGCAGATGCTCAAGAAGGAATGTTTAGCGTTTTCCATACATTGCCCTCCCTGGTAGCCCAATTATAAATCTTGTTTGAAATTATCTGGTGTAGGGACAGATGTCACATCTAATACACTCTCACCTCCACGACTCGGCCTTCCCTTCTCACTCGGAGCTGCTCACAGATTCCTTGCTCAAGTTCTCTGAGTGTGGTTTATTTCTATGCACTGTGTATTTCACCTGCTTATTTGGTTTCTTGTCAACTCCCATGAAACCAAGCATTCCAAGAGGACAGGAAATTTTGCTAGGTTTGTCTTAGTCCATTCGGGCTGCTATAACTGAATATCATAACCTGGGTGGCTTATAAACAGCAGAAATTGTTTCTCATGGTTCAAGTGGCTGGGAGCCTGTGGTCAAGGTGCTGGGAAATTTGCTGTCTGGTGAGGGTCTCCTTCCCACGTCACAGATAACCGTTTTCTCGGTGTGCCCTCCTACGGTGGAAAGGGTGAAGGAGCTCTGTGGGTTTCTTTTATAAGGGCACTAGCCTTGGTCATGAGGGCTCCACCCTCATGGTCTGATCACCTCCTAAAGGCCCCACCCCTGAAACCATCCCTTTGGGGGTATTTCGACAGAGGAGTTTTGTGGACACATAAGTTCTCAGTTCACACCAGGCTTGTTTACTTTAGAACCTGGAGCATCCTAGGAGCACGGTAAATATTTGTGGAAGCAATGAGTGAACAACTGAATGAATAAGTCAACCTGAGACTTGGTTCCTGAAGTGACCGCAGTGGGCTCAGAGCTGGGAGGACGGAAGCTGCCAGGGAGCAGAGCTTCCACCTCAGGTTCCACCACTTCCTCATCAATCGACTCATGGACACGTGACTTCTCTGAGCCTCGGTTTTCTCGTCTGTCATGTGGGTATAAAAAGAGTTTCTACCTCCTGAGGTGGTTTTATGAACTCTATAAGTCACTATGTATAAAATCCTTAATGTAGTTCCTAGCTCATCATAACTAACTAACAACTAACTGCAGTTGCTATTTTCCTGTCTCCTCAGAACCCCGGATAACCAGGAAAGCTAAAGATAAACCTGACCATTATAACGTGGGATATTTTAAATCCTCTTATAGCTGAATATTATCTTACGGCAATGTGAGGGTCTCATGCTCATCTTCAAGGCCTCACTGTGACCCCAGGTTCCCACAAGCCAGAGCAGCCCCTCTTCAGTGTTCGGTAGTGGAGGAGAAACCTGATGTCTATCTTTTCTGGAATCATAGGTTCTTGATGCGGTGTGTGCCCAGCAGCTCCTGCTGTCGGCTCCCAACATCTCAGGTTTTCTGGAGCCCAGACCAGGGTCTCACTTTTGATGTTCCTGGTTGTCTAGTCCGTGCACAGCAACAGAATAGATCCACCCAACTGTACACGTGTGGAGCTGCGCCCACGTACGTCCAAGCTGTCTCCTAGGCGTGCTGTTGCAGCACCACAGGCAAGAGGACTTGGCGAGCTAGGGGCAAGGCCCCACACAATTAGCCAGGCGAGTGGAGAGAGTGAAGGAGCACCAGGAAGCGTGTGCGGCTGCAGGGCCGACGTCCCAAACGACGCTCATTTCCAGCCGCAGCCTTTGTTGACCCCTTGTTTTCTCCTAAACTGTTCTCTCCACTAGGAACATTCTCTCTTCTTCATCTGGTCCATGACTGCCGATTCCTCAAATCTCAGCTGAAATGCCACTTTCTCCGGGAAGCTCTCCTCATCTCCTCTTTCGATGTCTTTGGGGCTCCCCACCCTCTGCTTGCCGGCCCTTGTCACAGCCACTGGGCTTTTGTGCTTCTTAGATTCATGTCTCTGGTTCCCACCTAGATTGTCAGCTCTGTGAGGGCAGGATTGGGACCTGTTTTATCTTTACCGGTTTACCTGCCTCTCCTCGTAGAGGTGAGCACATAGTGGGCCACCACGGCTCCCTGTGTAACGAAAAGGTGGGTGAAGGGAAGGAAGGGTGGATGTGCGTGGGGGTGAATTACAAAGTGTCCCCACAAGTCTGTGATGTTGATGGAGGGAACGCTGTGACATCCTGGCAATGTCAATGTGAGTGCTGGCTGCGGCGGGGAGGATGTGCTTGCTGCACATGGACGCACAATGCGTGGGGCTGTCCTGGGAGGGTTCCTGCTGGGCACTGCCCCCGCCATGCAGTGGCCTCTGTTACTTGCGTCCCCCTTCCCACAGCCTTGCCCCAAAATCAGCCCGGTGCTGCTCTGGTCACCCGCGGGCTCTGGGAGGGGGAGGCCCTGCTTGGTCCTTCGCTGATGAGATGGGGACGCCAACCCCTCCCCACACTCTGCCACGTGACAAGTTGGGCAGAATTCAGAAGGAGCAACTGCCACCCTCTTTCTCCGGAGTTCTGGCTGTCACCGCAGGAGTGCCACAACCCCAGCTGAAGACAACAAAATGTAATTAGAATCGAGTCCCTCTCCCTCCATAAATTAGAAGTGTTTAATTTTACTTTGGCAAATCAGGAGCCTGTGTTGGGAGGCTCGATGGAGCCAGGCCACACAGTGTCCGTTGGCGCCCACGCTGCCCAGCAACGACTCGCCTCCTGGCAGGACGCTGCCTGGCTTCTGCTTCCGGAGCCCAGGAGCTCTGTCCTCTGTCACCGACTGGATCCCTGGATTGCACCTGCCGCTTGGGGACTCAGGTGGCTTACAGAGAAAACACACCTTGAAGGACTCAGCTCCAACTGTGCTTGACAGAGGGGTAGGTTAGTAACAAACAATGAGGACTAACGACTTCTGAGCACTTGCTCTGGACTGAGCGGTTGATGTTTGTTATCCCACTTAGTCGTTATCAAAGCAACCCAGAGAGGTATTTCCTATCAGTTCCCCCCATTTTATAGATAAGAAGACTGAGTTTCAGAGGAATGCTATTCCTGGCCCTAGATGCCTGTCTCTCATATGTTGGATTGTAGTAGAGTCAGGCTGGGATTTCGGACTGAAGAGCAAAGAGCTCCGAGCCAAGGAGAGCAGTGGCGGCCGCGGGAGCCCTGCCCTGAGAAAAGCACCAAGGAGCAAAAGCACGGAGCTCGTGGGGGATGGAGCTGAACTCTCCGGGTCCAGGTTATGAGAAGGGGACTGTGGGTAACACCTGCCTCTACTACACTTGCTGCCAGGCCTTGGAGGCCTCCACTCTCAGCTCTTGCTGCTAATGGGTGTGCATGGGGTCATGTGGTTGATTTGTTTGTGCCGGGGAAGGACAGATGGATGGGTGGACAGATAGCAAGCGTGAGCCACGATAAGGAGGGTGGACTTTGGGGGTCAGTGGTGAGCGATCCCAGGATCTTGGACTATAGGTTGGGTTTAGAAGACCGGCTGGGAATCCAAGAGAGCGGAAATTATGCTTCAGTGTAATTGGAGATAGAATAGGTAGGTTTGCAAGTTCCACATCTTATGAAGCCCAGTTCTCCTTGTGCTGTCCTCATTACTCACCCCGTCCCCAAGTCTGCCTCCCGGATCTCCTTGAATTGCACCATCCCCTCGCCTGTGGGCGTCCAGGCCCCCATCGTCCTCGCCAGGGCACAGCTGCCTCCAGCCTGCTCTGTGCACCCACTGCCCTCCTACTCCTCTCTGACAAGGCAGCTGCTCCGCCTTCCCAGACATACACCCGCCCTGGGACCACCCAGCCTCCCTGACGTCGGCTGTCAGCCCAGGACTCTGTCTCTTGGGAGGGTCTCCTGCGAGCCCCAGCACGATTCTCACAGTGCTGGGGTCTCCCTGCTGTTGTGATTTGTCTTCCCTGCTCACCTCTCCCAGGGGGCTTGGGCTGGTGTGGTCTGGTGGGCGTATGCCCTGGCCTGGTGCCCAGCTCTTGCGGGAGACTGAGAAGTAGGTGCTGAAAGAATGAATGTCTGCAAGAGGCAACAGGCCCCTACGGGGCGGGGCGGTCAGGCAGTTGACAAGTGGCTGGTTCACACCTGGCTGCTCCACTGAGTAGCTGTGTGAGTCGGGCTCGCTTTTAGCTTATCAATTTTCAGTTTTCCTCTTTACATAAGGGGGTGCTAATAACAGCATTGATTTCCTAGGGCTGATACAAGAAACAGGAAACATAAAGTAGTGCCTGGCACACGGAGACCTCTTGGTAAACAGCGGCTGCTACGATCAATTCAAGGGAAGAATGGCTCAGGAAATGGCGTGTGATTCAGATCAAAGCTGGAGTTACCAGCTATGCTTTAAGCTTTCTGAAATTAATTTATGTGTGAAATTGTATTTTCTGAGTGAATACACATGCATTGTGTGGTGATGTTTGGTCTACCCAGTGTGCTGTTTATTTCACATGTGTGTTTTTAATCAAGATGAGAAAAGAACCCAAGTGGAAAGTTGTTGCAAAAGAAACAACTTTCTGGTAAAAGATCACCATTTGAATTTTTGGGGGAGCAAGATCTGCCCCCAAGATCTGATTCTTGGAGTGTTTGCAGGACTCCGGGTGTTGGAAAGATGAGCAGGGTCTATGCACTACCCGGGGGTGGAGTGATGCTCGTAGTGGGTTTCTCTGCTGTACTGCTGTGTGACTCTAGGTAAATTCTTCAGTCTCCAGGCCTCAGTTTCCTCATCTGTAAAATAGGGATAATTACTGTACTTACTTATAGGGTCATCATAGAATAAAATGTGAAAGTAGAGTTCAGAGCAGTATGAGCTCAGGGACAGGTTCTGTTGTTGTTGTGCTTGCTATTGGAACAGCTTCTGATTTATTCCATGCTAACAACCCCCTTTTTAGTGTGTGTCTAAGAATTCAGGGGTCCAGGGTCAAAGAAAGCTTCTGCATTCAACATTCCCACTCATCAATTGCTTGTTCCTGCTGTTTGTATGTTGGTTCCATCAAGTACGTTGGGAAGTTAACTTTAAGGATCTAAGTATGTTTAGTGATTTATTTATTGTGGAGTATGGTTTTTGACCCTAGGTAGAGGTTGACCCTCAGTTACTCTTACATAAAAATAGAAAGTCAAGTGTTCTCTGGCAAAAGGCGGAAGGACAGCAGGGAAAACAGCTGGAACGAGAATCACGGTTTC